TTGTCTTCTTTGTCCATTCTCATCAAACACATCTTCAATTTATTACCACCCCAGTTTAAATTTTGACGTCCTTACTTTTAATTATTTTAAATCTTTATTGATAAGTAATTGCCAACATTTCTTTTTTTTTTAAATGTGCTAAAGGGGTCGTGATATATTAAATGAAAATTTACCACATCATTTTTCCTAGAAAATAAACAACACCATACAAAAAAGGAAAATAAGAAAACTATTGAACTAAACGCGAATAGACAAAATCACTTGCGTTTTACCCAAGTCGCGATGTAGTCAAAACAAATTCTCCAAAATGACATTCTTTCATAGGAAAGGAAAATTTATTACAATCGTTTGGCTTTTTCAACCATGAACAATAATAATCAATAATATAAATAATAATAAATCATATATTTATAGATTATTACAAATATGTGCACTTTAAAATATACAATAATGTCAAAAAACGTGTTGATATTAGGTTAAATAAGAGTCTGTTATTGGCTCGGCGAAAGAAAATATCAATTTTTTTAAAATAAATTATTGTGATCATATTTTTTCTGACTAAAGTTCTTGGGTTCGGACTTCAAGAATCCTATCAGTATGGTGCATAAAGAAGGAAAGCCTGTTGTTTCGAACATCAGGAAACACATAAACCGAATCAGACGGGCAGGAAAAGGGCGTGTGAAACCGCAAACTAGAAGGCGCCTAAATCAATTTTCGATAAAAGGAGTCGAAGCCGACGGTCGGTGAGTCAAAGGAAGAAAAGGAGGAGAAGAAAACAACCATGTCAGAAGAGGGCAGGGAAGGAAAAAGGCAGAAACGGAGAAGGGACGACGTTAATGACTTGTTTTGTGGAGCCTGATGAGTCCGGTTTACCTGGCCCCCGCCGACAAATAAATCGATGGACCTTCTTTGATTTGCAACTTGCAAAAAAATCTTGCCCGGTTCTGTGGCATGTTTTCCATGTTATCAAACAACCGTGGTTGTTACATATCTATTATGTTTTCTTTGCATTATTATTTAATACCAATGGTAGGCAAATGCAGCTCTCCGTTATGAGCAACCCTACACAATTTTATGATTTTTACAATACTCCCATTTAAAAAATAAACTAGTTTTTATGAATTATTGCTTCCATACAACATGATAAAATATGGGCTAAAACTATTGCTTTTAAAAGGAAATGTAAAATATGCTATTGATATGTCATAAACTTTATCTAGTTTTTGAAGCTAAATTCGTTTTTTTGTTTTAAAGATTTACATTGCCCAAAAAACCGACCACCTGGTTTTTGTAGGAAAAAAGTGGTTAACTTTGTAAATGCATACTTTTTCAGCCTTTCAAGACCCAGACCGGCGCTAGGTCTCATTTTTTTAGAAAATTTTACGCTGAACAAGAGGCTTTTTTGGATGTTTTCCCAGCTTTAGTCATTCATAAGTAAATTCAAAACTTCGGAAACATGTTAATTAATAATAATAATAATAATAATAATAAGTTTATTGCACACAAGAAGAAAAAAGAAAATTTACATATAATTCAAACAAGAAAATAAACTTAATACGGCAAGGTAACCGTNAATTAAGGGCAAACTTGGCCGAACTCGATTTCTCCGAGAAGTGGGGTTTCCAAGAAAGTTGAGAAGTCAGTTGTACTCCTAGGTATGTATAACGATTTACCACTTCTATATCCAGACCTTTGTATTTCCAACGCTCTTCAGAGCCAAGCCTACCTCCCCTGCGGAAAACAACTATCTTCGACTTTTCCAGATTTACCCTAAGATTCCATGTATTCCATATATATATATTTTCCGAATTCGTTTCTCGGCCCTTAAAATACTAGGTTCAATTTTGGCTAATTTAACACCTCGATTTATGAAATTAATATTTTTGATTTTGTAAAATTTATTTTCATATTCCATAACTTTACTTATTCGCTTAGATAACTAATCATTTTTTGAAGCGCTTGCGTCGACGAGCCCAGCAACACTTATTTATCTATTTGCCACCTATTTCAAACTCTCTGAATACTCCAAGGCATTTATTTATGTTCAACGCACACAGGAGAAGACTTAAAAGCTGCCCTTGTTTAACACCTTATTTTAAATTAAACTCTGTACTTCTACCCCCACTTTAGATCAGACCGATTCTACTGACCCGTCCTGCAAGGCTTTTATAGTTCGTACGACTTAGCCAAGATTAAATAATTGAAAAAAAGAGAGATCTCGATCCACGGTGTCAAACGTAGATGAAAAGTCGAAAATTTATTTATTTATTTATAAAGTAAATAATGAAGCTAAAATCTACATCCTTAAAATAAACACTTCAGCACGTTCAAATACCATCTAAACTAAGATACTTGTACCTTGAAGGCATAATTATAGGCAATAAATACTTTATCTAGGCTAATCACGTACAGGAAAGTTAAGAAATAACACATCTGATAGCATAACGGCTATCGATGTTAGCTCCAAATTGATAGTCGACACTTCACACTCTATCAAGTTCTTATAAATTATTTGGATAGCAGTTCGTATCATCACGTTTGCTACTTCTAACTCCATGTTTGGTGTGAACATGTCTATTTGAAAGGCATTGTTTCAGTGGTTTTGTAGATACTGTAATACAATGAAGTTTTGTTGGATTGCCTGTGTGTTGTTGAACATTTATCCTCAGGTTGAGCTATCTTAAAACAATTACATATTTTTTACTAGTGTGTTTATAGCGTTAAAAACTTTAATTAACCAGACAGTTAATGTCCTCTAGGCGTCTTCTTGTTCATTTCCGCAATTATGTTTTATTGCTTTCTATTTATTTTTAGATTTTCTTGCTATTCGATCCTCAACGCGTTCCGAAGTAGTTGACTGCTACCTTGGTCAAAAGAATTTATTGAATAATTTCATTTTACGATTATGGTTTTCTTTCGTTTCACTGTAAACTTTACCCAGGCAATTAAAAATATGTTTGCAATTGTGCATAATCCTCGTCCTCCGAAAAATAACGTCTTCTTAAAGGTTTACATTCTAGAAAATTATATACAGCAAAATATCTGTGTGAAGTTATAATTGTCATGAAATTATATAAATTTAAATTTAAGCCAATGGCTGATAAATGAACATTTTGTGGTATTGTAATTTTCCTTTATTTTCGCTGTTTCATACAATTATTTCTTCCGCACTACCTAAGGTAGGGACGCCAAAGGAAAACAGAATGTATAGTTAAGCTATTGATAAATTTATGCATAGGAGAAGATTTGTATAAAGGTTCCCGTTCGATAGTAAGAAAAATTGATAGGACGGTACTACACTGAGAAATATTATCTCATAATAAAAAAGGAGATGTGCGCATCCATTGAACGAATTTAGACATATGAGTAGATACCGAAACGCTGATGATCAATCAGTATATATATATATATATATTTTTTTTTTTTTTTTTTTTTTGTNGTTAAGAATAAATTTTAAAAAACACTTCAGGAATAAATATATATTTATATGTATACTGTATACAGAGTTGTCTTCTTCTTGTAATAACATAATAATTATTAACTATACATAATACATTCTATACAACTTGGAATGCCTCACCATATCAAACGGGCATCATCACGTCATGTAAACAAAAATACATATTATTACAAACTGTATTCTTCAAATACTTCATTTTTTTATATCTTGTATGTCATAGTTATTAAAGAACATATTCTATTATTTCACAATTCAGTCGCAACTATACATTATTCAACAATCAAAACCTATCTACATAACTATGAATACTGCGATTTTCATTTTTTTTAATTTTTTTAATTATTGTTTTAACTAAAGACTCGATTTTTTAAAATTTTTAAAAAATCTTTTATATAATAAAAGTCTACGATAAATGATGGGTAGAGGTTAAAACAAAATATATGAAAAAAAAGATAATCGTTAATAAGGAACTTTTTCTCGTACATAATAAATAATAATGTAATAAAATTGTAAAACAAAATAATTTTTAATATACAAGCGGGCGACGCTACTCAATCAAGCGATAATGTACAAGCCTTACCACATTTGTCTTTCTTTAATTTTACAAGCGATAAACTCTTTTAAAAAATCAATAAAAAAAGAAATATTTAAATAATAACTTTATACACACTTAAATGTACTAGGTTCCTCGGTTCGGCCTTACAAGGGCGATCGATCAGAAAAGGTGGGTCGTCGGGTACTAATTTACAATAATCACAAATCCACTACTGTAGTAATTAACATCTCTCTCCTTTGCCCTTTTGAAAAGAGTTTTCGTCAATTTTATTACAGAAAAAATCAAACCAAAATTAAATTTATTGTTGAATTGATATTGATTAATTATGTTGTTTTTTTTAATTGAACTAAATAGCGCAAGTATTTACATGATATCAAATAACAGTAATGGTTTAATGTAAACTTACATTTTGTAATAAATGAATATTAATGATCAAAATCATGCTTGTTGATATTAGAGTTTATTTAATTATTTACTTAGCAGTCCTTGTCGGAACACAATAGACCGTTTAACTTTATAATTTTTCAAATTATTTTGAACAGTTAAATTTATAAATTCATGTATTGTCTTGTTCCGACTTCATTGGTTCTTGAAGATTGTTTTAAACTATAAAATGTTATTACAGTAACAGTTTCTTGTTTTAATTCGTGACGAAGAATTTATTAACGTCTCTGTTTTATTTATATATTTTAGTGTGATTAAGGAGGCAGAACGGTCAAATTTTTGACTCAGTGAGGTATTTTCTCCCTTTGGTTTTTATCCGATGTGAATAACGTGGTATAACCGATTTTAGCTGAATTAGGACGGTATGACAACCAATCGATCTGCATCACCTTTTAAAACCTTCGATACGAGAAATGTGTAGCTGTAATCATTTATAACTTTTTTAAAAAGATATGTATGTATAAGGATATGTTCTTTCTTTGTTTTTGACGATGTATGTATAGAATAACATTTTCATTTTACAGAGTCTTTTTGCTTTGTTTTATTTGTCTTTGAGTCGTTTCGAAAAAGAAAAGAAAAGACGACATCAATCTCGAAAATATTTATTAAAAAATGACGGGAGCACTCCTTCACGATTTATTCTCTAAGCGGTCTTACGCCGCGGAGAAATAAATAATAAAATTGACTAGTAAGATCGGAGAAACTATTTGATGACCAATACATCCCCAGGCGGCGCTTGGCGAGGCTGACAGTTTATAGTGAATCGAACACTCGGGAGAAAGGAGAAAAACAAAGCTTTAGGTAGGAGCCACTTTGGAGCTTGGTGGCGGAAGCTTTCGGCGGTGCCCGGCCCGTTCAGAGCGCGCCTCTCGCCAGGAGGGACTCTATACTGAACGGATTGGACCTCCTGGATAGGTCGAGGGTGGGTCTAGGGGGCTCTCCCGCGGACGAGGTCTGCCCCAGGGTGTGGCATGGGGGTGGCGAGGGGCTGCCGCTTCCGCAGTCACCGACCACGTCGATCTCCACGTCCCGAGTACCAGCGGAGCTGGCCACCGAACAGCACGAGGATGTATCCTGAATACTCATGTCCCTGCTGCTTCCCATGCCTCCAGATTTGTCTGAAACATAAATCCAAATTTACAACCCAAAAAAAAAAAAAAAAAAAAAAAGACATAAAATTTCATAGTACGGGGATATGGTTTCCTTATTGTGAAATTCCAGATTAATTAAAGACCTTTTCTTCACTAAATCTAATACGATATATTGTTGAAGTCCTGAGGAGCGGTCAAGAGTGAGGGGTTTTAGAAAAACACCTTGTTCATTTTTTTGCCGACGTTTCGACTTTTATTCCGGTCATCTTCAGGGCCTGTGTAAATTACAAAATATAGGTTGATTGGAAAAAATACAATTTAAGTTGTAAATATAAGTTTTGAACCAAGTATTTTATACTTACATAAAGTGTGGTGCTATTCTTGTGGTGTCACATTGGTTTTGTGTGAGTGTTCGAAACACTTTCACACAAAACCAATATGGCACCATAAGAAGCACCACACCTTATATGGGTACGCAATACTTGGTTCAAAATGTGTATTTACATCTTAAATTGCATTTCTTCCAATCACCATATGTTTTATAATTATCCAGGCCCTGAGATGACCCCGAATAAAGGTCTAAACGTCGGCAAAAAAAAAAAAAATGAAAAAGGTGATTTTCTAAACTATCTCCTCCTTGACCTATCTTCACGACTCCAACAAATTATGAAACAACAGGCCACTAACAAAAACACACAAATACGACATTTTGTGTACTGATCCTCCATGATGTATGTTGAAATGAACATGGATTGGTTCAACTGCCCACTGTTCAATGCAGACCATGTTGAACATACGGAAGATAAACGATAAGTGGATCTCAAAATTAGATACAAAAAGAAGTAAATATATTAATAAAATAGAAAATGACTGGACATATCAAGAGTGTCGAAAAAAATTGAAAAATGAAGAGACTAGAGACTCCATTTGCAAAACGCTCAATTTAAGAAAGTCCAAGACCAATTTCGCAGGAACAAATTGTCGTTCATATACCAAAGACAACAAATTTCAAATGAATAAGTTGAAGTCCTTTGCTGAATTTTTTTAGAAAACATAAACAAGTAAATAATAAAGTTAAAAAGCATAAAGTAAAAAGATATTGAATGAAAAGCTTTAGTAATCTTTTAATCCTTACATTTGTAACAAAGAAATTTCATCTGCCTTACAGAATTTGAATTTTTTCTTTGTAATTTCTTCAGGATCATTTTCTTCCAAAAATCGCTAGTGTAGTCGTCCTAACGCCCAATTTCTTTGGACGCATTCCAAGTATATATGATTTTTCTTGATGTAGTATTTCTCAGATTTACCATTCATGATTCGATGGGCAAATACCAGGGTTGTAGTTCAATACCTTCTTTCTGACCGAAAAGTAGATCCTTGATTGAAGTAAAAAACAAAAAACCTGTAATCTGGTCTGCCTGATCCCAGCTCTGATGATGGCAACGAGCCGAAACTCGTATCACAGACGAAAATCATCGGGAACGGCCTAATTACAAGAAAACCTGACACACATAGGCTCGGGATCACCGATTGTAGCGAAACTTATCGGATGGATCATACAAAAAAAAAAAAAAAAAATATATATATATATATATAAATAAATATTTGAGTTTGAAGTGAAACCAAAGTCGTATAATTGGCAGGTTTTGTAAAATTCAAAGGTGTTGTTGTATCCATACCCAAGTTTGCTTATTTATAGAACTTTGCCAAACAACTAACCACATGACTCTGCAATAATGTCGTGGGCGATCGATAAAACAGAATGAATGTTTTCGTGATTTATGCGTTAAGAAGGAAGATTTAAATAATTACCTTGAGAGTGTTGGGCTTCCCACTCCCGTTTTAGGGTCTCGAGGTCGACTGTGACCCCTTTGGCCGCGAGTTTCCTCTGTTGTCTCTCGAGGCTTTTCAGAAGTTTCTTCTGCCGCCTCTCGCGTTCTTTCCTCCGGAGTTCCTCCTCGGGAATGGGCTCACCGGAACATGTGACAGGATGGGCGTTGTGTGCCGGCCTCCCCGGGCCTTTTTTCGTGTGCTCCTTCTTCCTCCACTTCGCCCTTCGGTTTTGAAACCAGACCTAGAACAGAAAAACGTTCGAATATCAGATAAGATAAATGATTAAATACGATTAAAAGTTTAAATATGATTGATTACTAGTTATTACGGTATCATCTCTGAAGTCGATTAAACCGATTATGAGCGAGAGCCTGACTTAAAACCGAAAAACTTGATTTGGACATAATTTGTAAAATTATTAATGACCAAACTAATAATTTTAATACGATCTTGATAGAATTCTGGATACCTTTTTCAAGTAAATCTAGATAAATTTTGGATCGGCATGGAAGATTAAACCAAGACAATTAATTTTTTGTGTGTTAAATTTGCTCTTGCCCTGTTGAGTTTCGATTACTGTAATTTTAATTTTTTTCACCAGATTTATTAACAGAAATATACAAAAAAAGTATTATCTGGAAGACTATTACTGTGAGACTTTAAAATAAAAAAGTGTTTATTACTGCATAATTACTTTCAATTTATTTTATCTTGTACACGTGTGCTTCTCAAATATTTCGAAACCGTCAAAAACTAACAACACATGTGTTTAGTGTTCGTTTCTTAATGATTATTTGGAGGTCGTAAGATGCGGTCTGGTGTGACGTATGTTTTAGAAAAACATTTTCTTTATCGTGCCAACGTTTCGATCTTTATTGAGATCATCTTCAGGGCCTAGGATTTATAAACATTGTTTAAATTTTACAAATACATGTAGGATGTGAAAAAAATGAATTTATACGATGCTAGATAATTTTAGATTAAAAAAATGAATTTATACAATGCTAGAAAATTTTTCTAGAAATCTAAACTTTTCTAGCATTGTATAAATTCATTTTTTTACTTTAAAATTTTCTAGCATTGTATAAATTCATTGTTTTATTATAAAATTTTGTAGCATTGTATAAATTCACTTTTTCACATCCTACATGTTTTTTGTAAAATTTAAACAATGTTTATAAATCCGAGGCCCTGAAGATGATCTCAATAAAGATCGAAACGTTGGCACGATAAAGAAAATATTTTTCTAAAACCTACGTTTATGCCTATACACCTACAATTTTATGCTATATAATATAAAACATTTTAAATATCTGCAGGTAATTAAATTACACAGTTTTATTCGAGTGTCTTTATAACGAGTGTGGTTAGCCTGTTCTCCCCGCAGGCGTATACGTTAATTAATATGAGTTTTAGCACCAGTCCCGAGGGAAGGGAATCAAACTGCAAAGCTAATTAACACAAATATTCCCAATGCTAGAGAGCCAACTAATTCAGGTGCCTATTATAGAAATGCTGCGAACACGAACTAATTTGTAATTATTTAGTTCCGTAGACTTGTGAATCGTGTCAAATTAACACCTCATGTTCAAATGCAATAATAATATTGTGGATGAGTTACTTCGAACTAGTTCTGAACGGTGGATAAAAGAAATGGATCCGTCCCATTGAGAATGCTGAGTTCCGGGCAAGGGAAAATTTCGATGTAGTATTGGAAGTCATAAAAACATAACACCCATAAAAAATAGAGAAAAAAGTTTAGTGATTGAGATCATGCAGGAAGAAATCTATAATTTTATTACAAGGGTATGGCTATGGAGAAGTTGAGCAGAGAATTGTATGGAACTATCCTTTCTTTGGGGGCGAACAAACGTCTGGTAGCACCATCTGGAGCAAAAATCTCTAAGGAATGTCAACTAGGGAACTAGTGTGAGTGCCGAAAGAGGAGACCGCGACTTACCACATAATTACGAAAAGAATAGTACGAAAAGGATTTTATGACCACGGTCTGAATTTGCATCTACTGTACATAGTACTATTAAGGAACTGTGGTACCGGCAAAAATAATAATGATGGTGAGAGTGAATAAAAATAACGAAATTTCTTCTGGAGGTAATCCAGCATACTCTTAATTATTTGAGTTGATACTTTAGCTGGTAATACACAAGTGTTCTCATAATCCAGGAGGGAATCTGTATAACCGGCAGACAGATTTACTACCTTGGGTGTGCGGATGGTGTATCTATTTCGCCGTAGCAAGCGGCTTTAAAAGAACTCAAATAATTGGAGAAAGAGCTGAAGAGTTTGGCCTAAATGAGAATGTACAAAAAGCGAAATAAGATGTCGAGTGTAGTAAATAAGACGAAGTAGGGTTTTCAAAGAACTCATCTCGGAATAGCATGCATTTGGAGGTGCTGGGAAGCAACCCTCGCAAGGAAAGGTTATCTAGTGGGACATAGAAAGCAGGATGTTGGCAAGGAATACTTGCTTGGAAGCGCTAAGGGGAAAACGTTACGCAACAAAGATTTACGACCGGAGAGACCGCTGTAGCCGAGTGGTTAGCGTGTTAATCTCTCGCCTTGTCGACCCCGCGGTCGTGGATGCGATTCCGACTGTCGCCCCTTTTCTATCACGTTACCCTTCTTCCATATCCAACCTGTTCAAGTGCAGTTCTTTGTCTAATTTGCAAAACACAAGCCATTAAAAAAAACTTATAGTTCAGAGACCTGGGCTGTGAGACGAGCAGATGAGCTGAAGTAGAACCAGTGGGAAAGTGTGACTAATAAATTAAGTGCCTACTAGAATGGCTAGATGGGCCATCGACCATCAGCAATAAATGAGAACAGAACACCACATAGAACTATGCCTTATATAAGACCTACAAAACGACCTAAATTCCAGTTACTCGATGACGTAAAAGGATGCTTACGAAAGATAACTATTAGACAATGGTGGAGAAAAGTTGATGATTGATCGGCTGGAAACTCTATTTTGGAGGAGGGCAAGGGCTTAGTAGCTCCAAGGATCTAAGACGAAGTTTTACCGCTTACTCATTTGGTAAGTCATAAATAGGTAGACGTGAACTGACAATACTTTCAAATTGTAATAGTGTAGTATAGGTGGAAAACTATTTAAAAATTAATCTTAAACATCAGGACTGTACGACTACTATGTAGGATTCATCTGATCGATGTTCCGTTGGGATAGTTTGGCGTCTATAGGTAAATCGAAACAGAGAAACGGCCGTGCGTGCTAGAGAGACATTAGCAGAGGGCATCACCAGTCTTATACACCACTCCTAATGCGATAATTACATCATTTAGTTATCCTTTGTCCTTTCCCGGTATACGCGGCTAATGAGCTCTTCTTGTTTTAAGATATCCCTGAATTATTACTGGTAATCAGCCGAAAGCGTCCTCACATGAGAAACGCAGACTAGTGTACAATAAATTTCAGTACTCCCTTTCTTCATTTTCGTCTCAGGTCCTCACTCCCACAACGTAACAAATTATCTTTTTGTAACTTCTTTCTGTCTGTCTCTCTCTCTCTCTCTCTCTCTCTCTCTCTCTCTCACTCTCTCTCTCTCTCTCTCTCTCTCTCTCTCGCTCTCGCTCTCTCTCTCTTTTTTTCCTCTCTCTCTCTCTCCCCACAAATTTATCAATCTATTCATCCATCTATTTATCTAACTTAGTTAGCCTTAGTCAATGGATCTTTGTAAAAATTAAAATATTCCGTAGATAATTTTTGAGAGTCGGAAATGGCTGAGTAGTTCAGTTCGTGATTAAGTTACAAAAGTATTGTACAGTGGCTCTTCCTCCTAAAGCTCTTGTTTCAATTCCCTTGTGAAATAATATTGACGTTTCCCTTTAATTACGTAGTACATTAACCTAATGGGAATTGAGCCGACTTTTATTCAGGCATAATTATCAATCAGAATAAGTGTGTTATTAAAGTGCAATTAAGTCGACGTACTCACCTCTTCTTTACGCGCATTATATCCTCTTGGTTTTATCCTAGATCGCTCATTTCCACGTTCCTTTAATTTTATTCCATAATATACGACGGAATTTAAAAAATCGATCTAACGAGGTAAGAGATACAATTACACGCTAATTAGCTAATAATTTACCTATCGAGCAAAGATCAAAAACGATTCACTTTTAAGGGAAAATGCTCGTTTAAATAACTGTAACAATTGCGTTTTTGTTAATAGTAATCGCAGTATACTCTTTATTTGTGTTAATTAATTTATTCTGAATGGATTAAAGAACAGCTATCGAGTTTAGAGGCACAATAGTACACTGTTAGGGGGTATTTGAGTGAACATAAATAACGAGTATGATAGTACATTAGTAGAAAGTTTTGGTCGTCGAGATTGAATTGTTTTAAAATATGGTTTGATTTTGATATTTTTACAGTTAAATTTAATTTTTTTAATGGTCAGTTACCGTCAGATTTGTTTACTTTAGATTGCACTTTCACTGAAAATTGTGAGATCTGTAATAGTGAGGGTCCTGGAGTAGTAAGTTCTATTCTGTCAGCCACATTTCGGCTTATCGAAATCTTCATTGGTGGGTTTCAGTAAAAATTATTGTTAAAAACTGAAGATGACCAGAAGCCGAAGCGAAACCGGCAAGCCAAAATGGGCGGAAGACAACTATACCATCACGCTTCCAACTTCCAACTTTCCAACTTATTTGTACACGCGTATCTACTAGACTCGTTTTATGGATTGCTTCTGCACGGTCGAAGTTGAAGTTAATCCTAATTATTTTCCTATTTTTTTGAAACTTGGTCTGTACTAGCGGGACATTATAAATACATTTTATATTATTTTTCATCTGAACACATGAATTATACGCATTCAAACATGTACTTAATACTGTAAAATCCAAGGTGAAACACTAACATTTCGGCCAGTACTGCTCCTGAAGGGCACATGATATGAGAAGCCAGTCAATGCATCCTGTTATCAGGGCAGTAGGTCTCGATGACATCGTCGTTTGAGGGGGTCTTAGGATGGGAAGTAGTGGGCAGCAATAGGGTTAGAATCGGTTGAATGATTACGATGAAACTTGCCGTATCGCGAGAAGATAATATTAAGGTCATTGTTTATAGTGAGATTGGAGACTTAGTAGGAAGTTTGGAGAAATTCTCTGAGAACTATTTTGTTTGGAATGCTTGGATTCGTTGGATGGATGGTTTGGTGGTACCTAACAGTTCGAGTTCTTTACCGTCATG